CAACTTCATGCCATGGGTTTGACGAACCTGCCCAAAGTGGATCCTGACAGCACTATTGCTGCAGCTCTCATGGATATGTACCAGAGCATGGGGGATGCTCTTGCGCAGCAGTATGGTGGCTCTGCAGCTCACAACACTGTATGTTGTTTACTATCTAGATTGAAGTTCTTTTTTTATTTTATGTTTTATTCATAGTTTAGAGTATGCATATTATCAATTGCTGGATGTCGTAGATCAGCCCCTAAAACTTTAACTTGAAGTTTGAAAAAAAGGAAATAAAACTCCAAAACTCTAATCAGATGTCCATTGGGCATGGGCCCCAAGTGAGGGATCCCTCAACTGAAGCTTTCTGTATATATATTGGAAACCATTTTGTGTTATAATTGTGGTGCATAAATAGACAAATACAATGCTTCCTAAAAACATTGAAATGATCATGATGATACTAAGATGGTTAAATAATCCCGACTGGGCTGTCATTATGGGAGGATCATCCTTGATTGGGGAACGTGAAAAATAGATGGTTCAGATCACGTGACCACATTGCAGAGAGGGTGCCAGTAATGTGGTCTTCAAGTTCTCGACTTAAGGTTTTTCTTGAGAAGAAATAAACTTTTTTTAAACACAAAAGCACATAACATGTATAGTGGACAAGGAGTCCACTCTTAAAACGCAATCTACAACAAACACATAAACTTAGGTCGTTTTTGCGAAGAAAGAAACTTCTATTAAACACAAAAACAAAGAATACATACAGTGGAGAAGGAGTCCACTCCTAAAATACAATCTACAACAAAAAGAACAATACAACCATTAATCAGATCGCCCTCTTTGTAACAAAACTAAGTAACCAATCTTGAGCTCTTAGATGTAATGATTCGAGTTTGGTCACTTTCAGCTGCAAACGATTCAATGAGGTATTTTTTTATTGATTCACGGTATGTGTATGTGTGTGTGTGTGTATATATATATATTTGTGTGTGTGTGTGTAGGAAGTTTGTTAGCACATGTGTACAGAGAGATTGTAGAACTTCCACGTTTAGCTTTGTTTCTGCTTCCTGAAACCATTCGTCTGTCATGAATGGCAGGTATTTCCTGAGAGGCAGGGAAAGTGGAAGGCCACTACCCAATCAAGGGAGTTTCTGAAGTCTATCAAGCGATACTACAGCAATGCTTACACTGATGGTGAAAAGCAAGACGCCATAAATTTGTACTTGTTCCTCTCTTGTAGTTTCTCGTGATATAAATTTTTATTTTTAAATAGCATCTTCTCTTCCCTGACACAGAAGATAAGACTTATTATTACCTATCACGATCTCCATCATTTCTTATAAAATAAAAATATAAAATTCCATCTCCATCAATAGCATCTCACTTCTGCATTGAGAAATAGATGCATCTTTGGATATATGGGAACTCTGTGTTGCTGATGGCAGTTGTATTGTATTATATTATATAGATTAAAACAATGTTATACTATAGTTTGTCATTATGTTGTACTATATTAAATTTCATGGTATTGTGCAATGCCATATGGCACATTGTTGTACTGTGTTTTGCCTTTCTTAAAATATCTTCTAAAGCTTTGATCTTGCTGTGGGTTTTACCAGATTTTTGGGTTACTTCAAACCACAGGAAGGGAAACCTGCTCTGTGGGAGCTGGATTCTGATTACTATCTTCATGTATCTGGGATTGATGACCTTTTCCTTGATGCGTGGTAAAATCTGTTTGCCTCTTTATATGATCTAGACTTAATACTTTGGACAGGTCTATCCAAAACGCATACACATGTACACATGCATAGATGTGCCTTGTACATTTCCTGTTCCAATCCTTTTTTCTACTTCTTTTGTACAGTTAATGTTTCAATTTAATCATCCATTGTTTACAATAAGATACTTGATTTTCAACTTTGCAGTTCACAAGAAAATGATACGCACTTGGGAGGATTGGGAAACACTCTTGCCCCTATCCCTGCTTGCAAAGAAGATTTTTTGAGGATGAAGTTGACATCCTTTGATAAATTGATTGAAAGGACGTGTAGTTCAATAAAGAATGTAAGACTTTGCAGTGAACCAGATCAAAGAACAGGTGGTGGTACTACAAATTCTAGTGTGGCGCCTGATGCAGCGTAATTATATCTCAACTTATGCAGTTCTTACCCCACTCTTTAGCATCCTATTTGTGATTTTTAATATTAATCTCTCTACCTCTCTCTTTGGTTATCCTGTCCACTTGGGAACCAAGGAAAATTCTATTAATAGTCACTGAACATTGGAATTATAATTTTCAGTGAAATACAGTTGAAAAGCCCAAATTGGCTTTTTGGCCAGAGAAAATACGAAGAAAGTGGGTCTGCACCAAAAGTTACTTCACATGAAATAAGTAATGGAGGATCCCGTAATGAGACAGGGTTTGGTGGCTTTTGTGACTTAAATTGGCTTTCTTCTGATGGCAATGATAATGAGGAGGATATCTTCCAGAGGTAGGCTATATGAAAATGCTTTTGGGTTGACATAGGAGAACTCCTTCGATTTGTCTGGTTCATTAGCTTATACATGGTTGTTACCACTGTGACCTCCAATGTAAGTGGGATGCTAAGAAGAAATACGAGAAGTATATATCATATTTATGATAAAACAAACCAGAACATAAGAAAGTTAGATAATTGAGTAGACTAATCTGGGTAATTAAGTTGATTTGGAATTCTATGTTACTACCTTGTTGGCATCAACTGTGTTCAACGAAAGAACTTAATTTTGTTTTTTAAAAAGCCTATGATGTATCCTATGGAGCGTATGATTGATCATTTCTTTCTCTGCTGTTATTCCAAGGTACCTTTCAATGACATCAGTGGATGAAGCGAATGGGTGGTACGGTGGGACACTGCTAGGTGATCAAGATGAAAGCAGTGAGATATATAAGCACTATGCTGAGTTATGTCAGGTAGAGTACTTCTAATTTTCCAAACATGGACAAGTCTGGTATTATTTCCTTTAAACATTAGAGTTTGACATAAATTTCTGCAAAATAATGAAAGCACTTTCTACTCTTCTTCTTGTTCTCTGACAAAAAAAAGGGTTTCTCTCAGATTGTTCAGCTGCAAAATATGCGTACATTTCCAATTTCTCCATGCTTCTGCTTTTGTATATATCTTGAAATATCTCCTATTATCAGTGCATGCATAGGAAAATAGAAGAAACATAATTATAATGTCTTTTTCTCTAGAACATCATTTTAAAATTTGGTTTTCCCCCAACACCACCTTTATCTTCTTCGTTCAAATGCAGTATAGAAGTTTTAGTTTCTTGGATGGTATATTTTGTTGGTAGTTTGATGCTCTTGTTCTATTGAGCTTTGATTTACTTATTTGTCCTTTATGACATCTAATTATCACGATTATACAAAACAAAAGACCTGTTTCTTGCCTTTAAATTACATTGATGTTTAACCAATTATTATAGAGCATTCTTGGCGTTTGCAACAAAGTTTATGACAAAATAATCCTATGCAAGTAAATAAAATGATCAATGTTACTGATTTGTTGGAAATCCAGTTGATAGACCTGGAGGACATGTTCTTTTTCTCCTACTTCTTGTACGTCTCCATTTCCTTGATATTCTTTGTGAAATGTTTGAAATGCAGGGCCCCGGCATTGAGCCTTTCAAAAATGATCGTGAGATGGAGAAGCACTATGCCGATGCTCTTCATATGGGGACAATCAATATTGTAGATGATGCTGCTGTTGAGGTAGAGATGGAAGCCGCTCTCAAGGAATACGATCAAATTGGCAGTGATCTTGGGAGCATCCCTACATCATGTAAATCCTTAGCTGAAGATCCGAGCTGGTTGACAAGGTGGATCATTGGGGAAGAGAAGGTGCAAAGGGTTTGAAGAAATACTCTGTTCAGCTTATATTTATGAAATCTGCTCTCGGATATATTATGCTTTTCATTGTTTTTCGACTATTAACTGTAAAGATAAATGAAATTAAGAGGCAAACACTGAGTGAATCATGCTTGTATATTTGACTAGGATCAAAGAAAGTAGCTGTACGATAATGCATGTAAATACAATTTATTCAAATATAGTTCAACCTCCCTTTTGCAATTTTGTGTTTACTGGATTACACTTCGTTTTCCGAGGGACAGCAAAGTCGTTTTCTTGTATTGATGTTCCGTCCCAAAGGTTTTGCAAGAAAAATAAAATGCTCTGCCGTATAACGTATTTTTGCAGTATTGCATATGGTGCCTAATTGCCGTATAATGTATTTTCATCACATTGCTCACCTGCAACAAATGATTCAATAATTTTTTTATTTTTTATTTTTTACTTCAAGTGATAGTCTAAACTACAATGGTGCCATGGGAAGAGGTTTCTCACACTATCAAAGTGTCATGAGACCACTAGTATGCAAATTAAGGTGTTTTTTTTTCCCACTAGACTAGACCCCATTTACAAATCAAGACTCTTTTTCACTAGACTAGACCCCTTTGACACAAATGATTCAATTCTAATTCTAACAATCAATTGGTAACTTTATCATACAAGTAATTAGACGTTAAACGTTCTAGACCAAATATAGGCAAGGATTCAAGGTTCTAAAGCCGTACCATGGAAGATTGTATCTTCCTTATGGCCTTATTATTTGCAAAAAGAGTTCACAATGATGCTCTCTCTCCGGAGTTACAATAGATTTCAACTTAGAGAAAATCCACGGGATTTCCTCGAGCATTTTGCAGTCTTACAAATTTACAAAAGCAAATTTTTCAAGATGTACAATGGACTGGTGAACCTAGCCAAACTCCTATATCCCGTAGCATCAATTTCTCAAGATTTGGGATTTTTGAAAAGTTCGGCCATCATGTTAGGCAATGTGAATCAGGTTGGGAACCTTCAACTTTTAAAGCACCTGTTGTACAAAACCTAAAGAATTATGGAAATTAAAATTAAAAAAAAGAAGAGAAACGGGGCATGAGGTTATGTATAACAACAGAAGGAAAGGGTGAAAAATTTGGTTGAGGTTATATTGTATGTACCCCGGAACCCTTCCAAATAGCTTCTCTATAATACATGTTAATGGAAACTAGTGTTGGTAGATTTATTCTATTGCGATCAGATCATCTAGATCACCACTGCTTTCTTGCAGAAAGTCGTCAACTTTAGATGCCTCCGGAATGTCAGATGGAAGTACACCAGAACTGGGTGCCCAAGCATGTCCACCAGTCGTCGTCGTGTTTATGAACATCCTATCGAGCTGCTCGTCCAATTTAAGACTAATGACCTTGTTACGCAATTATTTACCTATAGTTTAAAGAGGCATTACTGTTATAAGGAGTTTCATGATAATTTACAAAATATAACAAAGAAAACTAAAAGAAGTTTACACACCCGAATTTTATTGCACTAGCATTCATCAGAAGCGTCAATTGTGCAAAGTTTGGGATTTCACCCCCAAAGCCAATTTCCTTCCCAATTAGTTCTTTCCACAATTTCCTTTGCTCTTTGGGAGCATCCCATTTGTTTTTCCATTCTGTTTTATCATACTATTTTCCTGTCTCTTTAGTGGATTTAACCTTTCATTTTTTCCATCCCACTTTCTTCAAACAGTGCCGTGACGATTTCCTGCCTCCACCTCCTTGATACACAGGTTACAGAATATAGCTACACTACGATTATTCCATGAGCCGCAACTTTTGATCCATTTGCCACATTGTTATTCCTTCCCATTTGGTATATGCTTCTAGATAAATATGACTAAACCCTGAATTCTCTAGAAAACTTAACCTAAGCATGAAACAGAAACAAAATGTAATATTTGCATGCAAATCAATCAACCCACGTATATGCTTACTTTGCGATGTATAATGAATGTATCAATGTTTTGCAATTTTTTTTTTAAAAAAAGGTGGTACAGGAAGCCTGGCACATCTAGGAATGACTATTAGCATAACATTGTAAAGATTTTGAGAATGTAAAATTTAAGTCTTGAGAGAGAACAACACATAATTCAAACCACTGTTGAGTTATGAATATCAGTATAACAGACTTTTCTGATAGTAACCCTGTACAGCCGTATATCATTTTGAAAACTATAAGAAGAATAACTAGTTGTGCAGAATCAACCACAAAATAATTGCATAAATATGGTAATGCAAATAACTCACTTAATCAATGAAGTGCAGAAAAATTATAATTGAAATTAGGTCCACAAATACATGTGGATGTGCAAGGCACCATCTACGTTCACACCATAAAACCTTTGCCAGAACTAGGCTAAAATTCAATTCCAAAAAATTAAGTCAAACTTGACAACTAGAACATGTTAATCCCACAGGACAATAAAATGATAACCCAAGTAGACTAGAGCAAAGGAGGTGTCATATTAACAAAACCCAAGAGAAATACAGGAAAAGCCACAAAGGTTACAACACTTCACAGACACAAAAGTATGGTTTTTTGTTAAGCGCATGAAGTTAGTGAACCCGATGTAAACAACAATTAGGATATAAGCACAAACTCAGATGGCATACACAATTGAAACTTAAATAATTTAATTGAGAGGAAGATGTCATTTATCTAATCATGAAGTAGCCTCCCCTGAATCTCATAGATTGTAGAAAAATTGAGAGCTACCATGCCTTCAAAATAAAAACTGTAATGAGATTAATAAACTTACTGATGACTTGATGAGTGGGTAGTCGCCGTTAGCAATAATTTGTCTCTGATGAGCTTAAAGATCTGCAGCAACTATGTGAAGATGAAGAAGAAGAGTCGTCTGCTAACTAGTGAAAGCTACACCATACCCACAAACAAAGACGACTACTCTAATGTGAGAGAAAGGGGATTTCATTTACCAAACACTGGAATTATCAACACTTTTAAAGCAAGTAGATTATTTCTTCTGAAAACAATCCCAAATGCCCCCTAATAACATTCACCAATGCCGAATATCAAACGCAATGTTCACAATATCGAACACAGCACAACACAACTCACTCTTTGACTTTGTGAAAATTTGATAAACATCCAATATAGAAATACGAACCATAAACATAACTTGCAAATTAAACTTATAGACAACGTAAATATTTAATATACATGTGAGGTGGTAACAAGACACATTCAGGTATAAATTCTAGCATACAAGCATTCACATCATATGACCCCAATCACAATACTTCAAAAAGTAACGTGAGGTCAGAGTGATGAAAGGCATCTGGATTCACTTCCCTCTCAGACTATTTTGTAAATTTCGATCAACATTCAGGAAGAGATTGGGCCGAAGCAAAAGGAGAAAATGTTGCAGCTGACTCACTACAATGTAGTGGATGATGTTGATGACTGGACGAGCTGATGAAGCTTGGTGACGCATTGCTAGGGCTTGGAATGTGTGCAATAGACAGGTATCTTGAGTTCAGGGGTGACAAAGATGGGTAACCAAAGGAATTGGGGGAGACAAAATAGGAAGCATGAGATCTTTGGGACGAGGCATTACGGAGGTCCACTGAGCTTCTGCTGACACTAATAGAAGGGGACTGGCGGTAGGAGGACCTAAGAGACTGCTGAATGTGAGTTGAGCTAGCATGAGAGTGAGAAAGAGAATATGGAGACTGCGACAAAGCTGGAACTATCTGCATGGCTGAAGAAGATGCTAGAGATGATCTCATAGATGAAAGTACAGAAGAGGCCACAGATGATGATGGGCTGGATGAAAGCAATGGTGTGGATTCTGAAGCTGGTGGATCACTCGTGTTAGCTCTTGCATCACGCTTGCAAACTGGGCAAAAGGTTCTCCATGAAGTAAGCCAAGAATCCACACAGAAAGCATGAAATTCTGTCAAAATCCAAGGAAAATTACTGTCAGATTATTATTAATGAAAATCTACAGCTGAAGAGAGTTGTTCAATATTCTACAGATTGTATACAAGTACCTTCGACATTGAACAACTTGCATTAATCTAGATTTATATCATAGCAGGTAATCAGAGTGGGAGATTTTTAAAATGTTTTTCCTAACAGCTACTTCACATTTATCACTATTCAATGTTCACCACTAACAACGTTCACTTTACTCGAAAGGTAGCTGAACTCTCAGCATAAGCAGAAATTTAAATTGCCATTTCAAAAAGTATTATCAAGAGTTTGTACTTTGTAGTAAACTTGTAAACAGAAATTTTTGATCTACTAAACTTTAAATAAGTCATATAATTAGACACCAGATAAATCAACAATTTATCACAATTTTCCTAATCAATCTACTTCTGGATAGACTCATGCAAACAGAGACATTGACTGACAAAATCAAGACACAGGCGACAGGGCCTCAATATCTTTTCTAGAATCAACTACAGAATGCAGTAAATGAACTCGGTGGTGCTAGCCTGTATGCAGCAATTGCAACTATGAAAATGATACACGAATGGAAGCCAAATTTGAAAGAGAAAATAACATACTAATGATATAAAATTTAGGAAGGCTTCCTCCTTTTCAACACTTCTTTAGTGTTGAAACCGTGTCAAAAATCCTAATCTTCGAGTGTCAACTTTCTCTAACCATGTTACAAATGCAAAACTATAATGCTTTCTTGGAATCTACAAAGTATGTCCAATAAATTCTGAGCATGCCTAATTAAACATGAATATGCAATACATAATTTTCACCAACACTCTGTTGAGGTCTGGATTTGATCCTAAACTTTTCAATGTTTTTACTAACAATAACTCCCATAGTAAGATTAAACTACCTCCCAGTATCATACAGGACCCAATTTGCACATTTCAGCATACAACTTCATTCAAATAACAAATTAATATTGCCACAATATGTTAACATTAGTTCCTGTGCCACTGTATAGACCCCTAGTATACCCTTTATAGTCTCTCCAGGTTTAGGAATCCACTATCCAGTGCTTCAAATAACAATAGATATTTGCCCAAAATTTGTATCAGAATTTCCAGCCTTGTAAGACGCCAAAATTAGGGTTAGTAGAATGCAGAAAATAAGCTCTTCTTTCCTCAGCTAGATAAAGTTCTGAGATCCTACATGTTTTCTTCAAATAGATAAGTGACTTTGAAATCCCATTAAGACCAAGCCCATCAAGACAGACCAGCTGTACCATACAATTGGAGTAGGTCACATATTAACAATTTCGCAACCTTCTGAATAATGATAATTGGGAAACAACGAGCAACCAAATGTGTCCAACCCATAAACATTAGCTATATCATACATGCGCTCAAAATGCTAATGCTAGAAACACCAGGCCACCAAATCAAACAAAAAATGCACTGTAAAGAACAATATTTTGATATGGTATAAGAACCAAAAAAGAAACTTACTATGACGACATGGCAGAATTCTGAGTTTCTCTCCAACACTATAGTCCTCAAGACATATAGCACATGTTCTTGAAGTACAGTTGTCCTCTAAAACAGCGGTAAATATCAAACTTGGCATTGCTTTTACTAAACGACTGCTCATCCCATGAAATTCTCGGACACGAGAAGCTTGGGGCCTTTCTCGTCTTATTCGATGCCTGCGAACAAAGAAACAAGTAGCCAACACTGCAGACATGGCAAGCAAGGAAATGAAAGAGATCGCCATGATTGACCACGCTGAGTTCTCAAAACTTGCGATTAGCCACAGCTCCATGTTAGTAAGTCCGGCGTACTTTTTCAGTATCTCACCAGAAGCTTTTGAAACGAAAACAGCATGTATTTTTATACCAGCTGAATTTCCTGCCACTATATTTCCACAAAAATAGGAATTAGAGATTCTAGAAAGGGAAAAAGAAAATTACACTTAAACTAAAGAATTTAAAAGTTATACCACTTGGGAGGACAAAAATGTTTATATAGAAATAGACAAGAAAGCGCACACACATAAACATGTGATCACAAATCTCAGAACAAGAAGATGGGGCGTCGGTGTATCTTCTACTGCATATTTGTATTCTTAAATTACTCATGGAAGGTTCAACAGCACTACAAAGAGTAGCAGATTGGGTGCTGAGCTGCAAAATACCATGCTAGCAGGTCAAGAATAGTATTGCCCTTAACTCCAGTTCTCCACCCTTCATCATTAAGGCTAAAAGTACAGTTCTGTTCTAGATCAATGGAAATTTCTTTCAGGGATACATCATGCCAGCATTTATAATTTTCCTGGAATGACTTGAAAATTACAACAAAAAAAGAGTCTACAAGGTAAAACCTTGTCAAGAAGGAACTGTAGTAGTGCCCATTGTTTTCAACGGCAAGGCATTTCATATCTTTCAAGGCGAGGTGTGAGCCTTGAGGCATTGAGACGTGAGCCATTCGGGCATTGAATTATTGTAATGTAAAAATATAATATATTTAACAGGGCATTGAATTATTGTAACAAAGTGTTAATCTATTATTCAAGCATAAATGAGAGAGAGAGAGAGAGAGAGAGGCACGAACTGGAACTGGTAGGCTAGGATTGTAGGAAATCTGCGTCTGCTGGGAAGAGAAATAAGGATAGAAAAAACCAAATTTGGGGTTGGAGGGGAGCAAGAGCTTGGAGGGCCATCGAGTGATAAATGAAACAAAATGTTATGAACGAAAATAACAAGCAGAGCAGCTTTTAAACGACAGTGAATCCCACCAAATGATCCTTTGATGAAGTTTCCCACACGGAATCCTCCTTTGTCTTGGGAGCAAGACAGTAAATCCCACCAAATGATCCTTTTTGACTTCCCAAATGGCTCTTCAACATGGAATTCTAAAATTAAAAAAAGTATATGGTGCAGATGAACTAAACTAATCAGAGGTATGTGTTCTAGGCTGATACTTCATCACTAAATTTAGCATTAGCAGAGATGTTCATCCCACAAACATGCTCACAAACCAACAGAATCTCTTTCTATTTTTTCTTCTTTCCCACAATAAGAATTATGTGAGCCTAGACAGACTAGTGTATTTTTACATCTTTACTAGCACCTAAATTTAATTGATCCGGAATTGTTGAACAAATATTAAACTTTCCAAATTAAAACACTATGCATGAAAATTGTAATAGAAAAAGGTCATTACTTGAAACCAAGACGCCGCCATCTTCATTGTCATAGACAATTGCAGCTTTGAACCCGGCCTTCTGAGCTCTTCTAACTTTTTCCTCAAAACTACACCCTCCTCTTATGATCAAAACGAAAGGGGAGCTATAATTCGTGCCTTTTTCAACTTTGTTAGTCAATGTCGAGCATGCATCCACAGGCTCTGCCAAATACAATACTCCACATTCCCCAGAACCCTTAATCGCTGGAGCTGAAACAAACATCATTGTCCACCACAAAAATCAAGAAACTCATTATTAGTTTGCCTCCAGCTACTTTTGTTCCTCTTAAAACACATGAAAAAGTTAACAAGACGCACGATTTCAATACCCCAAACACCAATTCCCCTTCCTTCCCCACAATTTCTCAGCAAACAAACAGAAATTAAAACCAGAAAAGAAAACCCAAAATTAAAAATTAAAAAGAAAATCAAGAACTCACCAAAATTAGCTTCAATGTCGTCGAAAGAGAGAGTGACATTGTTCCCGATCAGCACCACGTTGGCCTTCGTCATAGAAAATTGCCCAAACAGAAACACCACCAAAACCACGACCAGATTCATTGTGATCATCAATCTCGAAACAAAAACCCTAGCAATCCTGATAATTGAACTCTTCAAGTAGTTATACAGAAAAGGACAGAGAAGCAAAATGATAATATATATTAGTGTAGTTGCGACGGATAGAAACATCGGTCTCCATTTTCAGAGCATATAAATCTTCTTATACTCTGATTCCTCTGTCATGCCTGATTTCTACTACTTATAAATAGGAGAGATAACCAATGAGACCTAAAAGGTATGGTTCAATTTTACACCAACTCGGTTACTTCATATCCTTTCTCCCAACCAAAAAAAAACAAAAAAAAGTGACTTCATATCCATATCATGTTGTGTTATATATTTTCACAAAAAGACAAAAGAAGTGGGTTCATATCCAAATTGTCCTGGATGTATTTTTAAGGAATTTCTGAAATTGGTCCATTTGTAGTGTGCCACGTGGCAGATGGTGATTGGCCTACTTGAATAGAATAAAAGATATGAGAAGTGGGTAATATCCCATAATTGCTGGGTTGCCTTCTCCTCCTTGGCGCGACCTGAAATGGAAAACCATTCCAGATTCATCAAATCTTGTGTAACTCATAACTTCAGTTGTAGGAGTCAGATTAACGAACCGTTTCGGCCGTCATGATCTTGAGGATGAGCTCTATGACTTGAGGTAAATTATCCCCAAATTTGTTTACATCTATTTACATAGTTTTCCCAAGTGATCTGTTGAGCTCTACAATGTAGCAACATTTAAGAGCAAAATAGAAGCAGCTTTGTAATTTCGAAATGTAATGCAATAATATTACACAACACACACCACCCTTTCAGCCTTGATGCTACACATGTTCATCTATGCTCATTTCAGTATTGGGATCGGACCTCAATCGTTTGGGAGGTCGATCCTCGTCAGACGAGCCATGGCTTGGTCCTGCATCGCCATCAGCAAGCGCTCTCTTCGACTTAATGTCTGCCTGAGCATTGTCCTCGCCAAGAACATTAGCATCCTCATTGGAGCCAGAAGCATATTGTCTCATCTTATCATTGATAACTTTGTCCCACACTAGACTGAGCCCTGTTTTCTTCACACTAAATTGGGGTCCAAAATCTACGATAACCTCAACTTCATCACAGGCCGCCAAATTGAACACATTGTTTGATAGATTTCCCTGCCAAAGATGATCTTCATGAGATGCTACCACGTCTATTGCAACCGGCCTCGAGGTACGCATTGTGCCCTTGGTATAGTTTATAACTGAAATGCTAGTAAGATGTTGAGATACTATGTTGTCGAGACATGAAGAATAAACAATGCACACAATCAACTCCTTCAAATTACAACCAATATTTTGAGGCACTTCAAAAAAGACTGAGGCGCCCTCATCAACATAGGGGAACCACTCAGGAATATTATTTCCAGGGAGAAAAATGCCACCAAATCCACTCACAGTCCATCCCTATACAGGCAGAGTAAGATTTGTATAAGCAAACAATGCATGTTTTTGTGTGAGTGTTATGAGAGAGAGAGAGAGAGAGAGAGAGAACCTGCAGGATGTTCTCTTTAAGAGCATCAGTGATATTGCTGCAGCCTTCCATTCGAATGAATCTCAAGGACTTTAACAACTTAACCAACCCTGGAATCTCAATGAGTTTGCTGCAGTTTGTCAGACTCAAAGTATCCATATTCGAGATTTCTGATAAATTTGGTATTCTTTCCAGTGAAGTGCAGTTTCTCGCTTCCAGGGATTTCAAATTGTTTGGTAAATCTGGGATTGCATTAAGGTTTGCACAATAATCCAATATTAGCCTTCGAAGCTTGGAAAGGCCATTGAGGCTCGATGGCAGGCTACGAAAACTATTGCTTTGTAGATTTAATTCTTGTAAGGAAAATAAACTCCCCAGATCCTTAGGAATTGCATCATCAGTTAAATTGCAGTCTTCAAGAGATAATCTTTGTAAAGAGGTTAAGCCTCGTAATGATGGGGGCAATAGATTAGTTGGTTTAGTAATTTTCCTAGGCAATACCCAAGACCAGAAAAGAGAGGGCAATGAGTTAGATGGTGATGCTTTCAAACCACACAGAGATAAATATTTCAGGTTCGTCAGTCGTAATATTGTAGAAGGTACTTTTCTTATGGCTGTGTTGTCTGCAAGAAGAGTTGTCAATGATACCATCTTCCCTAAATCATCATCCAAGTTTGCAAATTTTGAACAGCCAGAAAGATCAAGAGTTTCAATAGATTTCAACTCATAGAAACTCCTTGGAAGATCCTTGAGCATTTTGCAATCTTTCAAATTTACCACAAGAAGTCTTTCAAGATGTCCAATAGACGGGTGCACCTCGAACAAACTCTTACAGTCTTTGAGCATCAGTTTCTCAAGATTTGGAAGTTTCGAGAAGTCTGGCGAGCGTTGTAGGTAATGAGAGTGACTGAGATTAAGAATCTTCAACTTGTCTAGCAACTGTTAGACAGAAGGGAAGATAGAAATCAAAATTTAAATAGAACATGAAGAAAATGTACAAAACCAAAGGAAATCTTTACTGATACATACCCCAGGATCCTTCCAAACATGCGTGAGGTTGCTATAACGCAGGTCTATAGCAACTAGTTTCTGTTGGTGAAAGCTGTTTGGTATGAACTTTAGAGGGAGACCATGCCAACATAGCCATCTTAACTCTTTGGTAAGATATTCGTAGCTTCCAGTGAGTTGTACGTAATTGAGTTGGAGCAATCTCAGTCTCTGCATATTTGCAAATGCTTTTGTACTGAAACTTACATCATCAGATCTTAGCAAATTCAGTGTTACTCCTTCAATTTCTTCAGTCCCCTGTACATACAAATAAAAAGTAAACAAAGGAGTTATTTCCATGTGAGATGATTTATATTCATGAATCCATGATCACAAGCTGAACAAGATTTATATCCTCTGAACAAGAAAGCATGTGAAAGATGATAAATTGTTAGATGTGGGAAGCATGTGCTTCTGTTGTATAACGTGCATTTAATTTAGCAAAGAATTTGATTGAGAAAGTTCTTACACAGTGTTTTGCTAATACATCTTTTATGTCTTCTTTATGCCACAATCTACTGCATTTTCCAGGTTCCTTGGGGGATTTTTCACGGACAACTTCTCTTCCCATGTCTCGAAGCAAATCATGCATCGTGAGCTTGTTTCTTTCACTAACAGTTACAAGGCATCGTTGAAGGAGAACACTGATTTCTATTTCTGCAAAAAAGCCACACCCATCCAATATTTGTTTGACATAGTTCTTGTCCTTTCCAATAAAGAAACAAGATATATCAAGGAAAATATCCCTCTGTTTATCGTCGCTTAACCCATCAAAGCTTATTCTGAGCTTTTTCTGAATTTGGTCATGAGGAATTCTTTTCAATTTCTCCAATGCGCTTGTCCACTCTGGTATGCTTCTTCCAAATAAAAAAGAGCCTAAAACTTCAAGTGCTAGTGGCAAACCTCCACAGTAGGAAACTACACTTGTTGAGAGATCAAGATATCCTTCATTAGGATAACTATTTCTAAAGGCATGCCAACTGAAGAGCTCGAGAGCTTCTTCTTCATTCATTTCTGGAGCCAGAAACACTGTATCCACTTCAAGTTGCTTTAGCAAATGTTGATCTCTTGTTGTTATAATAATCCGACTTCCTGAACCAAACCAGTCACGCTTTCCAGCTATTGCCCTTAGTTGCTCCATTTGATCTGCATCATCAATTATGACAAGTACCTTTCTACATCCAAGTCTTTCTTTTATGATATTGATCCCTTTATCAACACATCCAACCTTTATCTTCTTGGCTGGTTTCAAAACATCAGATAGAAGTTGTTCTTGCAAACGAACCTGACCATTTGGTTGCTTTGACGTTTCCCTAACATCTGCCACGAAACTTTTACCTTCAAAGCTGTGATAAAATTGGTTATAGATGGCTTTGGCAATCGTTGTTTTACCCAGTCCTCCCATCCCCAAAATTCCAACCATGCGAATGTCATTCGATCCAACACCTAGGTAAGAACTCATATCTTCCACGCGAGAATTTATTCCAACTGGGTAGACAGCAACGAACAAGTACGCGTTGTTCAGCTGTCTAGTAATCTCGGCAATAATTTTCCTGATAAACCTTGCTTCATGCCTGTTAATGAAACTCAGAAGAACAAACTAAGACTCATTATGAAACTAGAAGATTAAACTTAATCAGAAACTTATTCCTTATGACAATAGATTCTGTCTACTACAAATATCACTCATGTTACAGTTGTTCATCTTGTTAGGACATTGAACAATGTTGGCCACAACCTAACAACTTCAGCTTCTAATTTTTTTTTTTTTTTTTTGGGAGGGGGGTTGTGTGGTTTTAAAATGACATTTTCAAAAATAGAGGCTTCAACTAACTAAAACAGGGTCAGCCAAAAAAAAAAAAAAAAAATCAAAGAGAGCAGGAAATGGCCAAGGAAATTAGTGATTTTACCCATCTGCGGTGTTCCGAAGATCCCAGCCAGACAAATTGGCTGCTTCAGTGAGAGCAGACAGTACCTTATCAACAGCGAACAGGACCCGCTCTTCATGTTTCTCAAATGCCTGCCCAAAACAGCCATTCTGTTTTCTCACATCTGAAGGGTCAACATCATAGAATATTGGCAAAACCATTTGCCTCACTGTTCTTCTACACTCCATGATCTTGACCAGCTCCTCAAGACACCAACCGGAATCCGCGTACCGCCTCGAGAAGACGATCACAGAGATTCTAGACCCTTGGATTGCCTGCACCAGTTCTGCTGTTATATCTTCCCCTCTCCTCAGTTCATTGTCGTCAATGAAGGCATTGATTCCGGCCTCTTTTAATGCCATGTAGAGATGGCCTGTGAAGTTTTTGCGAGTGTCTTCACCTCTGAAGCTCAAAAACACGTCGTAAATCCATTGCTTTGAAGAGAAGGATTCTTGGGTTGTGCTGGTAGCCATTGGCACTAGGGACTGCAAGTGCTTCCAAGAATTGCAATATGAGTCCGGCTCCTCCCTTAAAAAGAACGCAAGTCAACTCAAGTTTACTTGTTTGCAGGGCCAGCAGGGCTCAGAGTGGAGGAGGGTGCGTGGAATCACGGGCAAAAGACAACCTATATATTGACTTACTATTATAATGCAGGGCCACCAACACGTCTTATCTTCTTAATTTACCAAAGAAAAAACGTGACTTCTTTCTTTTTTCTCTTCCACACCTTCTATATCCCTCTTATTATTTTTCTTTTCCATACTTTCTGCAAATTACGATTTGATCCACAAATAAAAAAAAAATAAAAAAGTTGATATAGATCCAAATTCCTATTGAGAAGTTTGTTTTAATCCTCGGAGTTGGTGACTTTGATACGTCCTTTGACTTTCGTGTCATATAAAATTACATTCCTTTTTTAATATTTTATGATGTAATTTTTTTTATTCCAATATTGCCCCTTGTGCCTTGAATCGAATAATTGTAATTTATGTGATAATTACGGAAAAGAATTGTTTATGACCATAATTAATAAACAAATTAAGTGCTTATGACCATAATGATTTTGGTATATTAATTACTTGCCTTTTTTTTTTCTTCTTTTATTTGCATCCATGATTTTGTATATTAATGTTGTCTTTTTTTTATTTTCTTCTTTTAACCCAAAAAAATCTTTGGCTTTCTTTCTTATTGTTTATGACCTCTTTATTAGGTAAATTGAAGAAACCAAAAAAAGGTATATTGAAAATAACAAAACACCTATATGTCAGGTAGATTATATATTATCTTATACTTCCCCCAATACCCAATAATCAGATACAATCCTATATTTACCTAATAAGTTATGTAAATAATCTCACATTTACCTAGTAATTAGGTACATAATCTTATATTTACTTAGTAACCAAGTACATTACAAAATTATACCTATATATACATAAATTAATATAAAGCACTTTAGCTCATAGTATACATAAGAATTTGACATTTTTATACATCTGCCTTAGTTTGAAAAAAGGATTTTTATCATAAATGGTTCCTAAGGCCTTCTCCAACCCATGAGGGGCTAAACCCGAATTTCCCCCCTCCAAAAAGTGACTATTTGGGTTTTGCCCGGACTCAAATTATTTTTGGTAGATTATTTGAGAAATGGATGGGTATTTATAGAGTTTGGAGTGAGTTTTGGGGTTGGATCTAATCTAGATTAATTAAAAATATTATTTTGACTGTTAGATTTAAATTTCAGCCGTTGGATCTTTTTTTTTACCGTTAAAATAGCTTATATTTAATCTTCATCGTTGATTTAAGTTATATGTATATATAAAAAAAAACAAACAGCAAATAATTTCAAATCCAACGGCAACTCAATAGGGCTTTGACAAGTGGCTTTTATGGAAGACAAGATGGCAGCAACAATAAAAAAAGGTGGGGCCCACGGAGGAATCTTTGCACGGAGGCTGTTTGACATGAAAGTGGGCTCCACGAAAAAATTTGGGTCTAGGCAATACTTGGACCCATATTTGGGTCCAAATTTGGGTTTTCCCAAATTTTGGGTCCTTCATTTTCTTGGGTTGGGAGAGGTTTGGGGGGATATTTTGAGTTTGAGTCCAAGGGTTGGAGATGGCCTAAGGTATGTGAAATTATCACCTTTCGTCCCTAATTTTTTTTTGTGACACTAATGGTCCTTAAGGTTAGCCTTCACACATAAAAATGGTCCTTGCCGTTAGCTTTAATCAAATTTTCTATTAAATTGATGATGTTGCACACGTGTGGAGCTCACACATCCAATGGTATAAAGTCACGTGTCTTTAAATATAATATAATATATTTTAAATATTTTTAAAACTTAAAATATATATATAAAAAATTAAAACCAACTTAAATTTTTATTATTATATATTTTTAAATATATTTCACTCTCTCCTATACTATTCAATAAATAAAATTAAGAAAGAATGACCCTCATAGTTGCATTAGTTTATACTTTCTAGATATTAATTATAGCTGTGCAGCTATATGTATAAAATACATAATTGTTTTATTCGACAAACTTTTGGCAAATTACAACTTAAAAGTTCGGCCACTATATAATATTTTAACATATATTATTTTCATTCAATAATATGTGAGAATTATGTGTATAATACGTGAATTTTGTGTGTATTATTTAAAAATTTGTAGAAAATAAGTGTATTAAATATGAAATATACGTACTTACATGTTCGATGCGAGTATTGTACATTCGCTTTTAAAAAAATTAGGGAAAAACCCGCGTATCGTAGCAAGGCTATACTATTTCTTTAAAAAAAATTAGAAAAACATAGTATAGCCGGACGGATATTCTGTTTTTTTAAAAATTAAGGGCAAAACAGTATAGCCGCCCGGCTATACTGTTTTGTTTGGAAATTTTAAAATACAGAGTGTAGCCGTATGGGTATATTATTTCTTTTCAATAAAAAAAAATAGGGAAAAACGATATACTATCTCTTTTTAAAAATTTAAATACAGCGTATAGGCCCTCGGCTATACTATTTCTTGTTTAAAAAATTAGGAAAAACTAGTATCGCCGTCCGGCTATACTATTTATTTTTAAAAATTAAAAAACAGATTATGGCCGCACGGCTATACTATAGGCGGGCGGATATGTTAGAAAAACAAGAGGATAGCCGTGCGGCTGTACTTTTTTAAAAGAAAAAAGAAAAAAAGGGCATATAGCAAGGACCCTCCTAGTTGCATTAGTTTATACTTTGTAGATATTAATTTTGTATAGCCGCACGGCTAAACGAATAAAATACGTAATTGGTTTATTCGACAAAATTTTGGCACATTACAACTTAAAAGTTCAGCCACTATATATTATTTGCATTCAATAATATGTGAAATTTTTGTGTATAGTACGTGAATTTTTTGTTTATTATTTAAAATTTTATGAAAAATAAGTATATTAAATATGAAAAATACGTATATACATGTGTTTGCCCGTTTTGCGTTCACTCCTGTGATGGAAGGGCAAAGTTCCCCACTGCCTTGAGAACCATAAACTGGTCGACAAGTCAGCTTTCTTTGGTGTGCGAGCGTGCCACTGCTAGCAATAAAAATTCTAGCAGACTTAGTTTGGAGTAGATAACTTGCGCCCCAAGTTACTGATTTCTGCAAACAAACGATTGTGAATTTGGGTGAGGAATATCTCCCAAGTAAGTTCTTTTCTCGCCTCAGACTGGTGAGGACTTTAACAATTTATCTCAGTATAAACAGGCTGCTCTGGCCAAAATGGTTGATGGAATTTAAACTGTTTCAGGCAGAACTGATGGAATTTAAACTGTTTTTAGGCAGAACTGATGGAATTTAAACTGTTTTTAGGCAGAACTGATGGAATTTAAACTGTTTTTAGGCAGAACTGATGGAA